AAGACCAGACCTCCCCTGCATGCATGTGAAAGAGAGAGACATGCTAATTGCTTGTTCATTAAATTCGGATGCCTTGCGCTACTGACCTTGCAGGCATCTAGCCTATCTCATAGGCAAAACCCCCCACTTTTCTCACAGCGAAGGGGGCTTAGAGTATGTGTACCTCTCCAGCCTGATGGATATTCTCCACAGATTGCCTCCAGCTCTGGAAGGGGAGATATTCAATGAGTGCAGAGTATTAATTCTTCTAGTCTTGAACTCTAGTATGTGTTTTCCTAGGTACTTCTATCTATTTACTTGTCAGGTAGTTCTCTTGAATAGGAGTAGGGATGGTAGGACCCTCACAGCGCTGTCACAGTAGTTTCTTAGTCATAGAACAAATTGCAATGCACCAGTGGAACAGCAAGAAAAACAGGTGTTAGGAGACAATTTTAGTCTTCCAGTGCAGTTGAAGTCACATTTACCTCTTGTGAAAGGACTGAGTGCTGTTAAGGAAGGAGGGTAGCAGACAGCCTCCTCTGAAGGGCTTGGACATGCATGTCTTCTACCAGTCACTGCCCCTCAGCCTAATACTAGAGAGATGTTGAGTGGGATCATGGCTCTCCTTATCCTCTATCCCATGAAAAAAAGCATGCTGTAAGTGCACAGAGCAGAGGTAAACTGTGCTGGGATGCTGGAAAGTCAAGTGCTATAAGTTCTCCTGTGTTTAGACTCTAATGCAGTGTTGGAAAAATGGAGGAGGAGCACAGGAGAGAGGAGCATGCTTTCAGTCGTACATACTCTTCTGATATACTGAAGGGTGGCAAATGTCCCATGGATGAAGGAAAACATCCCATTAACACATGGCCGTTATAGCAATGTCCTTCTATTGTGAAAGGATGGTGAAATGGAGAGGCATTAACAGTGGATGACAGAGGACATGTATGCTCTGTGTGTCTTTATTTTTTACAGTGCATGCATTGACTTGAGTGACTTAGATTCTGTCACTGAGCCTGATTCTCTTCTTGCTAATATGGTGGCATGTCGCCATGCTCAGTGGCAACCTGGGTGGAAAACCAGTGCTAACTGAGAATAATATCAGGCCTGTTCTCGCCTGGCAAATTTACGAATTTATGCCTATAGGCAACAAATCTTTGTGGTGTGCACCTCAAATGTTTGGCCGTATCGAGGTCTGGCACTTTGTCTTGCCTTAGGCTGACCTTGTTAAAGCTCCCTTCGTGTGCAATCCCTCATGGCAATGGATATTTCCCAGCCATTTCTAATTCAGCCATAAGGCCTGGATTGCTCAGACTGAGTGTTCATATTGAAGCCCAGAAATATATTAAGCTAATTATTCTTTGAAATCCCCTCGACCTGCCTCCCGCTTTTGCCTTCCTTTGGCGCTGGCTGCTGTCAGATCATTCCCCAGAGAAGAGTAGCTTTAAGTAGGCAATTACTTGTGATTCATAGGGTTTATTAGGAGTGAGAGAAGGCCAATCATGTCTGGCCTTTCTCCCCTCTCCAAATGGGAAGAGCAGGTTCCTACAGCAAGCCAGACATACATCTCCATTACCTGTGACTGCCGTGGTGCTAATGGATGCCCTTTACTCCTCTCAAGAGGAAGAAAACAGGCCACAGCTATGTGAAATCCTTAATTCCTCTGGAGTGTCAGTTAGCTCACCCTGATAGCAAATGCGAGTGTCTCAGACATCAGTAAACAGTAAATGGCTGGGCTACATCAAGGAGAGAGACAGAGACCCACTCTTACCAAGCGAGGGTGGGGAGGGCATTTCTCTATGGGGGTGCTGCTTCTGCCAGTCTTCTCAAGCATCCTTTGGACCAGCTCCTGGTCCTTGTTATCCCAGCTGCAGGACACTGTAGGACTCCCCTTGCTTTGGACAGGGCCGAGTGGGGATGGACCACATGCAGAACCTGTCCTTGCACACCTGGCGTGAGCTGGAAAACAAACTAGATGGGGAGTCCTCTCATTTTACATCTTGTTCTGCTCCTTAATGCCTTAGCCCTTTGGGAGGACTGAAATAATGGACTGCAAAAATCGGTGATGTTTTATCAAGGTACTGGCAGCTCGCACCACTCATTTAGACTTTTAGAAGCATCTCTCAGTAGTTATTCAAGTCTGCCTTTTCAGGAACTGTCCTTGCATGAAATAAACTGGCCTTTTACTTCAGATCAGCAATGACATCTTGTCTTGGCCTCTAATAAGATCAGAGCATATGAATTTCATGTTTTCAGAATGACTGTCACCTCCTTGGAAACCTCAGACAATTATAAAGCTTTTGCTTCTGCCTTATTTTGCATTTTACTATTATTCTGTCCCTCAGATAGCTATGTCTGTCCCTCCCATTTGTTCCTCTTGCCCTCCCAACACAATTAGCTCTACATTTTCATTAACCAGACCATTACAGTAAGTGCTCACGGTCAGTTGTCACTAGTAACTGTCTGGGTTGGGCCTGTGCAGGTTGTTGGTTTAATTTGTGTTTATCTGCATGAGCCTCCCTCCTGAAGAGAAGGGCCAAGGGAGAGCTCAGTCTCTTTCCAGGGAGAAAGCAGTTGACAAGAGGGTGGTAAAACACTGGAACAGATGTCCTAGGGAGGTGGTCGATGCCCTAAGCCTGTCAGCATTTAAGAGACATTTAGACAACATCCTTAATAACATGCTCTAGATTTTGGTCAGCTTTGAAGAGATGTGACAGGAGTGCTGGTTTTACGATAGGATTTAAAATGGTCATTTTGGAAAGAAGGACAAAGAACCCCAGTAAACCTTTCTGCTTGCTAACCAGAATCTCTTTTTGTCCCTATATTCCTCTTCCCTGCCACGTCAAATACTGGGGATAAGCAGAGACCTTATCTAAAAAGTCTACTGACAGATACTATGGTAAATGAACCCTCATTCGTGATCCCTGCATGGGCGATTTTTAGCACCAGTTCTGCAGACCCTTTCTGGGAGGGCAGCAGGCCAAGGATTAGGCCAATGTTTTTTAAATTAGGCGTAAGCAGAACTCTGAGCCAGCTGCCTCTACAGCTGCAGTGGCCAACCCCCTGGCTAAGCAAATTGCTAGTATTTCTCAGTGTTGAGCTTCGATGCATGGTTTGGACAGATGTGAATTTGAGGGCAAGGCAGACAGAAAACACAAGCCTACCTTGTGTGTCTCACTTCCAGAGAGGGAAATATGAACAGATATGCACCTCGACCAGCTCCCTTCCAGATACAGCAGTCTCCTATCCAGTGCAGCAGGATAGGACCCCTAGACCTGTTGCTGCCTAGGGTGATGGGCTACTAGTGGATAAAGCCTTCGGTAATTACTCCAACAGCCAGGATACCCGTGCAGGGACAGAATGGCTGGAATCGTGTTGTTCCTGTCTTCCGGTCATCTCCCAAGGTCATGTTGGCTTCCCCTGCTGCCCTTGTTAGCACTGGAAAGATGCCAGAGATGATTTATGCTTCTCACAACTGTCATTCCAGGCCTTCACTTGTACCTAGATCACTCACTGATGGTTTTATCTGCAACTTACACAGTGTTACAAAAAAGGAGAAGAAAGCAGATGACGTGACATGACTTGGTGAGCTGAGGCTCATGTCTCAGTCTCACTTTGACTACAAAACCAGTTTTCACTTAAACTCAGATCTTCTGTGAGGTCAGTCCTTCATCCTGTGCCTACTGGCCAGCAAGGCATGGCAAAGAGCAAGTGATATCTATCTAGGGATAAGGATGCAGTCAACAAAACTCATCCTTTGGATCTACTAATACTCACCACATGAATAATGTAGTGAATCTTCCATTAATTCCGGACTGATTTTATCAGCACTCCAGTCCTGCACTTCACCTTTTTTTGACTTTTCTACATGTGCACACACGCAGATAAACACTGCAATCTGCACCTGCGCTCTACCCTCTGAAGTGCTGACATTGTCTGTGTTAGCTCATAGTTCAGCCAATACCGTGGTGAAGGTAGTTCAAGTTCATCCTTCTTTTTTCTTCAATCTCACCATCATCTTCACACTGTTCCCCTTGCCCTCTATCTGGAATGAAGTCGTCTAACATTCTCCTGTAGCACGTTACTGAAGGCCCCGCTGCAGAGGAAGAGTGAGGGGGTTACCAGGAAGTATAAATACTAGGCTATAGAAGAGAAATTAGCATACGTACTTGCTTTGTTGAAGCCTGTCGAGGTGCCGCTTAGCTGTGTGGGTATGTATTTGCATGTGTGTTTGTTGTTACCAGCAAAGGAAGGAGTAAATCCTCCTTCTACTTGTTCTTAATATCTTGTCTTAACATTTGAAATCAGAATTTTTTACCTTTCAAAACTGAGAGTCTTTCTTCTCTTGGGTAGTTTTCATTTCCCTCCTGGGTGACACCTAAAAAGCTCAGCTATCAGAAAGGAAGACACTCTGGGTTTCAGACTGCTTTTTAAAAGACATTGGATTAACCCAGCTTCCACTGATTTATATGGAAGCTGATGTTTCTCACTAGTTGCTATGATCAAGCCAGCATTTTAAAATTATTTTTTCTTTCCTTTTTCTGAATAGTTTCTCTTTTCCCTGAGAGTATTTCCTAAGGTGACAAAGGAGGTGAGGTGCATTAGTAACACTCTGAAGCAAGAGATGATGCTTGACATTACCAGAACACTGCTGAGCAGGAAGACACTTTGCTGGAACATTGTATTTGCAGTGATGAGCTTGCCCTAAAGGCCGTCAGAAGTGAGTCTGCAAGGGAGGGCACCTCCAGGCTCCAAATTTTATGGCTGTCGCTGTCTAGGAAGACACATGATCATCTTATAGCTGTGAGGAAGCTCAAAGTACTGATGCTTACCCAGCCATGCCCAAAGGGGGATCTTCCATTGGAATCAGAGGCATGACAGTGCAGGAAAAAGCTAATTCAGTGTTAGAAGTTCCTCTGACAGCCATTACAGTGTAATCACTGTAGGAACTAGGGTAACAGGAAGCCATCAGAAGTCAATTAGCAAGAAATAACATCTCTTATTCCTATGTCTTTCAGATCGAAATGCTAGAGCACAAATACGGTGGTCACCTGGTATCTCGCAGGGCAGCCTGCACCATCCAGACTGCTTTCCGGCAGTACCAGCTCAGCAAGAACTTTGAGAAGATCCGCAACTCACTGCTAGAGAGCCGCATGCCCCGCCGCATCTCTCTGAGAAAAGTGCGAGTCCAGAACTCAGAGAGCTTCTCCACTGAGAAAGCCCTGGTGGAGGGGTACAACTTTGTGGGCATCCCATTGGTGAGGTCCCCATCTTTGCCAGCCACCATCAGTGGGGCGCTGACCGAGCTGGAGGACTCCTTCACAGAACAAGTTCAGTCCCTTGCCAAGTCGATTGATGATGCCCTCAGCACCTGGAGCCTGAAGACCATGTGCTCACTGCAAGATGGAGGCTCATACCAGATAAGGGAGACCTTCAGTGCTAGCTCAATGCAGCCAGACCAAGGCTTAGAAGCTGAGCTGCAGGATAAAGAAAAGGAGGAAGGAGTCCTGCCAGATACCCTACCCAAGAGCAGCAGCACCCTCATGATGGCTTTCCGAGATGTCACAGTCCAGATTGACAACAAGAACATCAGTGTCTCGTCATCTACCTCAGTGTCCATGGCAAACTGCCTCAGCGGCAATGCCCAGGCTGGCCTCTCGCAAGCTACCAAGGCTGAAGAAGGCCCGGGAGAAGGAGAGGGAGAAGCTAGTGAACCACTGGCTGCCCCAGAGAGCTTGCCTGAGTCCGGAACTCTCCAGAACAGCCACACTTTCACTGAGGTGAATGTCAGTACTAATGGCACAGGAGAGAGCAGTGCTGAGCCTGGGCAGATGGCAGTGCAGAAGCTCCAGTTTGATGCTAGCAATGAGACGGGGCAAAGCAAGGGCTCTGAGTCTGAGAATGCAGACAACTCAGAGCAGCTGAGTAGCAGCAGCACTTCCACTTCAGCCAAGTCAGCCTCTGAGGTGTCATCGAAAGAAGCACTGCAGGCCATGATCCTTAGCCTCCCGAGGTACCACTGCGAGAACCCAGCTAGCTGCAAGTCCCCCACACTTTCTACAGACACCATGAGGAAGCGCCTCTACCGCATTGGGCTGAACCTCTTCAATATGTAAGTGTCTGTTCTTCCTTTGTGTTTCCCAACTTATTTAATGCCTCACGGGAACAGGGGATAGCGGGTTCTTGGTCTAGATCCATCTCTGAGGAAGTTATTTCATATTCAAGGGCATAACCATCTGAGTATGGCAGTGCAGACAACAGGTTGGCTGCCCAGAAGCTTTTTCCCTAAAGTCCCCCAAGTGCTGTCCTGATCTTCCGCTCAACAGAGGAGCAAGCCCAGTGCCCACAAGTAGTGCCCATGCTCTTCTGAATTCTGACCCTTCAGTCCACGTTGCTGTCCATTTGGCATCGAGCAGCTGAACCTGGTGTCTAGGCTCCTGCTCCACCCTGTTGCAAAGGAACAAGCATAGCTGGGGCTGTAAACCCAGAGCTGGTTACTCACAAGGCATTTCCAAGTAAAGAGAGAGAGACAGAGGTAGGACTGAGCTTAGCTAGTCCAGTGTTAGTGCTCTAGCTGTCATTTTCCTTTTGGTATTTCGGTAGATTTTCACCTGACAGACCATGTTTTGTCATTTCAGTCTCTCAGACATCTGAGTCTGATATGAAAAGGCTGTAGGTGTGAAAATGAAAGCAGAGCAGCCCAGAGATTACCAAGAGGAGAGGTTAACTCCAGAGGTCACACATAGTCTATTTTGGATTGGCAGAAAGCAGCTGAGCTCTTATAAGGAGCTTTAGATTTGTCGTTGCCTTTTGATGAGACTTTGCTCATCTAAGCAAGCCATGAGAAATTGGTTTTTGCTCCATCATCGTGCTCTCATCTTATGCTGTCTTGGTTTCCGTTTGAGTTGCCTGATGAAAATGCTGGGGATGTAATGCACCCATGCTAAAAGAATGTTTTCCCACACATTGGCATGGGCCTTTTGGTCAGAATGAGGAGTAAAGATTATGTAGTCCTCAGCAGAAGTTTTGCACAGACAAGGGGACAATGCATAGAATTTATATATGTATGGTATGCAGGCTGTGGATCCAGGAGGCCGGAATCTGGAAAAGAGTTTTTTAGGGCTAGGCTCAGAGCACATCCAGAACTGAAGTGACATTAGAACAGACAGATCTGTGACTTTTATAGAACTGAGGAGGACATTTTACTAGCTCTGAGATCATGTTGTGAACAGGTGGGTCCATATGTGTGTGTCTAGGTGAGGGTTTGGGAGCACGCAGATTCGCCTGATGAACACAAGCAGGCTGGAACAAGAGCAGGTAGGCACCAGGCACACATGGGGGCTGATTATGATAGTGATAGTTCCAGGTCCCTACAGATGTTCTGGTGCCTGGGTACACCTTCTAGATGTACTTCTGCAGGGGAATGTGGCACTCACGTCTCTGCTACTGTGTTACGGTATTCTCAGCCATGCTAGGCAGTAGTCCTTCCACCCAATGTGTTTGCCTTTGGTTCCCGCACTGTTGACAGGAGCACTGATGTGAAAATAAAGCAGGAGTGAAAATGCTTTTTCCCAGCCCCTCCTCCTCCCTGAATCTGCCTGGCACACATTCATGTGGCAGATTAGCAGCACCAGGTCTGTTTTAGGGAAGCAGCTCTGCCATCCTCCTTCATTCAATGACCTGGGTTCCCTGCATCTTGCAGGTCCTTGTGAGAGAGAAGTCTTACTGTGGAGCTCCGAAACACAACATCCTAGCCAGGGCTCCCCTTCTCCCTTGAAACTAGCTGCTGCAATAATGTAGCATTTAAGGCTCAGTTTTCTTGACGATATACTGGAGGGACAGGGAGGGAACTGACCAGTAAGTGAAGCCATATTTTTTTTTTTATTCTGTGAGCAAGATCTAAGTGACACACAGCTTCCTATGTGACACCGTAGTGCACCTCCATCCAAGGGGCTGGGAAGGCCGTTCAGCTTTCTGCCGTTATTTGGATGTGGGTTTCCCTGTCAGTTCCAAGCAAGGAGACAGCTTACCGTTGCAGACTTTATGATACAGGTACCAGCACAAAAGGCGTGGAGCTGAGGTTGTCTGTGCACATACGTTTTGCTGACCGCTCCCCTGGACCGAGAGCTGAAACTCTCCAGTCACTAGCAGCATCTGCCACAGTCTATCCAGCCTTGTGCTGCGTTTTCAGAAAACAACACTCTGGCTCGGGGCAGGCCCCCGGGAACACATCAGTGCTGCGCTGCTGTGGCACTTTCCTCAATCCCCACTCCACAGTGAGGGGGTGGAATCCCTGGAACGGAGAGTGCTTCATTATGCGACGCTGCTGTAATAACTCTGCGTGTGTGTGGGCAGCCGGCTGCGTGGGCAGAGGGAAAGCCAGCAGGACGTGAGGAATCCCGCAGCATTTGCTGGCCGTGCTTAACACCTCTGCAACACTAAAGAAAACTGCAGGGACCGGGCTCAGGAGAGATGGAAGCGGAGTTGTCTGCTGTACCTTTGGGTAAAAGCTACGTGCTGCAGTACGTGGGATACATCTGCAGGTGTTTAGTGACAGGGATGCTGTACTGCTGTCAATATTTTGTGGAGAACAAATTGAATCCTGGGAAAAACTGATGAAAGGCTGCTGTTAGTGGAAAAATTGTGTGTACAAGTATATTTGAATTACAGCCTAGGCAGTGCAGGAGGGCTATCACAGCTGGACTGTTTTGTCCTACATTGTCAGTGTCATCTCTACCAAAATCTGCACATCTATGCCAGTGTGTGAGCTACATTTTTTTGCCATATTCAGCTCCTAGCTCCTCTGGAGTGAATCCAAATCCAGTCCAGTGGCTCTGAAGGCACACCAACATAGCTGAGATCATCCATGTGCTGTGAGCATCATACTGTCCCTTGCCAAATATCAAAGTGTGCAAGTGAAGGTATATCAGTGGCTCTGAGCAGCCTGATCTAGTGGGAGATGTCCCTGCCCATGGCAGGGGGGTTGGAACTAGATGGTCTTTAAGGTCCCTTGCAACACTGACAATTCTATGGTTCTATAATTCTATGATTTTATGAATCTTTGTTGCTTAGTTTGACTTTAGTCCTGACCATGTGACCTTTACACATAGCAGAGAACTTTGCCTTTTCAAAAGTGAACCAGCAGATCTACGTGGCAATACAAAAGGTGCACTGTTTCTTTTCCCTGAAGAATCATCGAATGGCCTAGGCTGGAAGGGACCTTGGAGATCCTCTAGTCCAACCTCCCTGTTTTGGGCAGGGACGCCACCTCTCGACTAGACCTGGCAACATATGGGGACCGAGCGGGAATCGAACCCGCGACCTCGGTGTTAGTCCTTGTTGCCAGCACCGCGCTCAAACCACTGAGCTAACCGGCCTGGGTTCTTCAATATCAGACCTTGTAGCTCTCCTGTTCATAAATCTAATGGGCTGATCCGTTCTCCCATACACTCTCCCCAGGGATGCCACACTGCCCAGGGTTTTTTCTTTCTGACAATACAGAGGAAGCAGAATTATTTCAAACCATTCTACTGTTTATATACCCATGTGGCCCCTGTGAGGAGCAGGCGATTCTCCTGAATGCTGATCCCCTTATAGCTAGACATATGTTACTCACCTGACAGTGTCACAGTCTGTGCCTGTGCATATCATGCATTCACACGCTCTGAGATCTCATCCTATCCTTTCCTCACCCTAGGAAACTGCCTGAGCAAACTCAGTCCTTGAACTTTGACAAAGATCCCTGAATTTGGATTAATCCTTTCATGAAGAAGCCACCCTCTTACCCCTCTCCCCACTCACTGGCTCAGAGAACCAAAGGAATGTGGAAAACTTCCTGGCATTGCACTAATTCCCCTCAGCAAGAGAGCATCATGTCAGACACTTTCAGTGGGGCAGTCTGGAATATGGAAAGAAAACCTCCTGCACAATATACACATGTGCACTCATTCCTGTCTGTACTGTGGGACAGACACCATCTAGGCTCACACTCACCCCCAGGATATATATGTTCTCATAGGAGACATGAGGAGAAAGCCAAAATATGCAGACACAGAGACTCTGATGAACATGTACGGTGTGAGAAAAGTCTACATGTGCAGGACATAGACAGACATAAACGTGTGTTTGTCGAGACACACGCAACTCTCCAAAAGCTGTGTATGCGGGCACACACACAGGTACACTAACAAGCAGGAAAATCAGTCCCACAACCAGGCAGTCAGCACCAGCTCTGCTCTCAGAGAGACAGTCCCAGCACAGAGGGAGAAAAAACCCCTGTCTGGGAGCTGCACACAGCTCTCCTCCAGCTCTGACAAGGCATTCTCTAGGTGCATGCTCTCATCCACACCTCACATCTCCCTCCCCGATATCTGCCTGAGGGGGTAAATCAATAGAGAAGAGAAAAACAACACAGCTAAGGGTGGCAGAAGTAGACGAAGAGGTAAGCAAATCTGGGCATGGGATTTCTGTTCAGGCAGCCAGCAGCAGGCTCAAGTGAGGAAGGCAGAAAGTGTCATTTGACACTAAGCACTAAAACTGTATGAAAAAGATAAATTGTTTTTACTGAAAAAGTGCCACCTGTGGTTATTCTTTTCTGTGTCTTGAGCCTCATTTGCCTATAGACCATGCCAGCAATGTCTCCTAATTCTCTTTACAGCCATGTTTTTCCTTTTGTTGGCCCTACAGAAAGTGGAACCCCAGCTGCTCTAAAGCAAAGGGTCACATCCTCATCGCTCACTCCTGGTCCTTGAGGACAGCTCTCTGTGGGCTGCATTCGGAGCAGCTGAATGTACTGATATTTCCCGCGCTGTCTGTGTGGGGTGCACAGTCTAATCATGTACTCACAGGGACCCTAAAGAAACTAAGCTGGGGCAAGGAGGATACAAGAATCTTTGACACTGAAGCAGAGAGGTGGCAGAGGAGTCACTGATGAGGCTGGTGTTGTGCAGCAGGATCCTTTGTCGCAGTGGGATGCCACTTGTGATTGCCAGGTGACAGCGGGTGCTGCAAGTGTCACAGCAGGTCCCGTGGCATCATTTGTCCTCAGCGGTAACTGAGGGAGACTTCCCCAAATCACTTTTCCCTGTTCCCACTAGCCCTGTTCCCACCGCACACATGAACTCATGGGAGCCTGTGCACATACTGAGGGATGCATTGCTGCAAGCCATGAGGTGAGCTAGAGGAAATAATGCCTCAGAGAGGTCATGCAAACTCACCCTGTCTCTGTCCTTCCCTTTCAGAAACCCAGACAAAGGCATCCAGTTCCTGATCTCCCGAGGCTTCATCCCAGACACCCCCATCGGGGTGGCACACTTCTTGCTCCAGCGGAAGGGTCTCAGCCGTCAGATGATCGGGGAATTCCTGGGCAACAGCAAGAAGCAGTTCAACCGGGACGTTCTGGAGTAAGTGTGGAAATCTCTTCCCCTCCTCCCTGCATGGTGAAGGAGTTGCCAGCCCACTCTGCTCCTGTGTGCACCAGGAAGCAGCCCGTCCTCCATAGCCCTCCATCCTCACTCTGCAGGAATTTCATCATTCGCACATCTCTCAGTGCATTTCCCAGCAATGTTTCCCTCTCAATATCAGCAGCCCTTTCATTTCAGTCTTTCCTCTGAGGGTTTGCAATCACCAAGCAGGAGCTCAGCACTGTCAAGTGGTAGAACTAGTGATGCTGGGAGGTTTTGTGACTGGGAAACTAACTCTGTGACTGGGGTCTCACCCCATCCTGACAAAGCACCTCATTCTAGGAAGACGCAGATGAGGAAAAATATCTGTTCCTTGCTGTGAGACCAGCAGGGAGTAGCGAATACTGCCTACACACCCGGTTCTCTTTCTGTCCAATTTTAAGATGGGTGGCTTTTACGGTTTGTCCAACTCTAGTAGGGAGACAATCAGAGGGGAGTTGGTTCTGTTTGTGGTAATGAAGAGGCCTGGATGAGGGAGAATGCTAGTCTGTAGTCACAGAGCACTGAGGAGCATCTCCACTCAAAAAACTGCAACTTGAACTGTGCCTTTTCTGAACGAGATCTCAGGTTTCCTCTATGCTTCTGTTCAGTGGCTGCCTTTATATTTTTATATTCTCCCATTCTCCAAAATGTTCTCTATCGCCATTAAATCTTGCAGTGGTTTCTCTTGAACCAAGCCAAACAGAAGCCCTGAATCCAGTACATACACCACTTCTACTCCAGGGAAAGACTGGAGGATGGCAGCTCGAGAAGCAAATCTGGGCCCAAATTTTTGCTGCAATTGCTACTGTTTATTGCAGCAGGTACCTGCCCTCTGACCCAGCTCTTTTTTTAATATGCTGTATGGGTATTGATTTGGCCAGCACTGAGGCACACGTTCTCTCCATTCTTTTCATGCTGAGAGCTACAATTAAAAGTAATTGCCTTTTTTTCTCCAGCAAGCAATGTGTGGGCTGCTTCCCCTGACAGATACTCTGCTGAAGTCCAAACCTAGCCTCTGCACAGACAGGGAAATACTGCAATAGCAATAGGCTATCACTTCCATGTAGTCCTAAATTTGGCATCATGCATGCAAATGGCCATGTTCTTCTGCCTGACATGTGACTACAAACTGTGTCAGCAGCTCCTGGGGACAATCCCGATTGCAAAGCTTGGTATCTGCCTCCCAGCCTTAGTGCTCAGGCGCTGCTGTGTTGTGGTTGCCTGTGTTGTCTGTATGTTGCTGGAGGGCCATTAAAGTAGGTGGTCTTACTCCATCATGCTCATTACTCTCAATTTCCATAGCACATCTTAATGTAGCACTCCAGAGGAAAAAAAGAAAGAAAAAATGAAAATATCCCTGCCATCCTATTTACAGATGTAGACAGCAAGGCTCAAAGATGGGAACTGAGCTGTTGAGGCTGTGTGTACCTGGACATATCTTGGATATGGACTGTGTGTACATGGACATGTATCAAGCAACCGAGTCTGAATTTGAGGTTCAAACCTGTGTCTGAACTCTCCAGGCAACAGATGATGTTCTTACACTAACAATCTGTGCTGCCATCACCTCTTCACAATAAATTGCTGATTTGTCTTCCTTAAAGGCAGAGATAAAAGTAGATATAAAATATATACAAAATGTTCTAAAACAGGAAGGAAAAAACACACACAGCCAGCAGGTTGTAGCTGTGCTGTTTGCAGGTACTATCACTCTCTTTCTGTGTCAGTTCTGAGCTTGCGAATAGGAATGGTTTGTGGGCTTCGCAAGCAAGTTTTCATCAACTGCTTGTGAAAGCTGGCTGGGCAATGGCTGCACACCCTGCCATGTGACGTGCATGGAAAGAAGGCATTGCCATGAGAAATTCTTGCCTATGATTATCATCTTGGGTATTTTTCCTGTCCATGCTGCAGGAAAAAGAGCGCTGGCAGTGTAGTATGGTGTGCTGATACTTCTAGTGCACTGCAGCTCAAGGACTAGTCACAGCTTTTGAGCTGTTTGTGTGGGAGCAAGAGGAAGCTCAAAGGCTTTTTGGCATTTTTGAACTATCTAAGTTGTATTCTGGTTCTCATTGCCCATCCAACTCCAATCAAACTAGCTAGGGAACAGGTTGGGAGAATGGACTCTACAAAAGCTGTCTCGCTGTCCCCAAATCCACCTACACTTAGTAAGTCAGGGTTAGGGTATGTGGTATTCCCTGGAGAGTGTGTGGCAGACAGGATAGCTCCTACAGTAGCTTTTGCACAATTTTCCCAATGCCACAGTCATTTTTGTGTCCCAAGTGGGCAGAAGAACAGGCACTGCTAGTTATAGCAAGCTCAAATGCCCAGAAAAAGCGGCCTTGAGCCAGCAGTAGTTGTTGGACTGGCACTGGCCACTTGCAGTGAGAAAGCCTGTATGCAGGGGCAGATATCTCTGCTCCTTCACATCTCCGACCTGGCCCTGGAGCCTTCTTGGCCCATCCCCTCCCTACTGAAAGCAATTTCAATTATTGATGCCCCTTGCTGTGTTTAGCTTTCGCTCAATGTGAAAATTTGTGTTAGAATTATGTATTGTAAGCACTGTTTCTATTGCAACCAGGTTGAATTAACCCAGCAGCATAAATAAATAACAGGACAGCTTTTAAAACATCTGCAAAATTGTCAGCCTCCCTTGTGCATTTGGAGGCAGAGCAGAGCTGCCCGGGTTACAAACTCCAGACTCAGCTGTAAGTCCAGCCGTAAGTCTATGCTCTTCAAACTTCTCTTGGCTTCCAGAAATATTGAAGCTGTGCTGGCTGACAAACAAGCCAACCACTGCCTGTTCCTGGAGTCAGACAACAGAGCTTAGGAGTGCACAGTGGCATTTGGCACTGTGAAGATGATCCCTCTTTGCTGCCCACCTAGTAAATGCAAAACTCAAATGCTGTGCTGGTTTCAAAGGCTCTTATGTACATGGGCAGGAGAGGGGGTGAGAGTAAGCATAATATGAGGCTGGAACACTTTGATATGGTATTTTGCCTTCCCACACTTGTATGCCCAGCACCTAAACCCTGAAATTATGTTCTTCCTTCCATCTTCCTCATCTATGTTTCAACCTTTAGCTGATTTTCTTGGGACTCCAAAAAGGTGTCTGGATAGCTCACAAGTAATTATACACACTAGCCAGAGAAGCAAGAGAGAGGCAGTATCTGACTATAATTGGCTCACATCCTTTGATAACACTAAACTACTCAGGGCTGTCTGCTTAGGGAGATGTGGCACATCATTTTCTCTTGCAGAAAAGCCTTCAGTCTTTCAAAGTAGGATTTATCTCACCTGTTGTTAGCCACTACTAAGTTTAGTGTCTTCTATCAGTTTATGAATTCTTTTAGTCAATGGAGAGACACAGGTCCCTCAAGAGTGTTGTTTTTCTCAGTGTGCTAGTTTAGGAGCTTTTATGCATTTTATCTTACAGGGGAAAAATCCCATCTGTAACCAATTTTGAGCTTCTCCATTAACAACCCTGTACCATGACCCAGCATCCCACAATAAGATCCAGCCTCTTCTTGTGGGAATCTGCTTCCACACCCTGCCCTACAGCCAGCTGAAAGGAGTCACTGGGGATCTGCCCCGAGGTTTCAATGTCTACCAGTCCAGGGAAGACAGCTGTAGAGAGGTAGCCTGGACCATTAAAGCACTGATCTGGTAATGAGCAGCATTTATCAAATCTGCTTGGAAAGTACTCAAAAAAAAAATTTTGTTACTTTGACAAAGTCAGGCCCAAGGCATTAACATATACTTTTAATATGAGACACGTTATCGTTCTTTCATCCTTTCATTCCTTTCTTTTGATTTACGTGCTCAGATGTATTGTTTATTTCCTTTTTTTCCACTCTTCATTCTGTGTACTTTCGTTCTCTTTCATTCATACTTCCCTTCACTTTAGTTCATTCTTCCCCTCCACCTGTTTCTGACTTGGGAGTTGCCTCCATTTATAATTCATTCATGAGCAAGATAATGTAAATGATGCCGTGACTGGAGCCAACTGGGCTTCTGGTACTGGATGGTTTCCAGTTCAGGTCACGGGACTTCGAAGTGGAGAAGTTGCCATCCTGGTGCATTTGCTGTCAGAGGAGAAAGGGGTAGAGATTCAAGCACAGGAGACATTGTGTTGAGTTGGGTGGTGTTAGACTGTAGGTTGCTGTCAGACACAGTCTGCCTGTGGGTGAGCAGTTCTCCTGTCTGTCATGTGTATTGTCTTCTCTTTCTCTCATGGGAAGTCAGCAAGGGAAAAGCTGCTCTTTGGAGTGTAAATGCAGAGCTGAGAGCCAAGCAAAGAGACTGACTCTCAAAGAAGTGTTAGATTCCTCTTGGGCTGACAGAGTGAACTTGACATGTTCAACCAAACTGGCCTCCTTTCGCCTTCTCACTGAAGACATTATAGAGGATCAATAAGGGACTTGCAACACAGGAGGGTTTGAGTAGCATAGCACTGCATCTTGTGCTGTGGAGCAATAGATAATGATGTGGTGGAAGCCAGACAGAGAGAGGAACGTATTAGGTGGTTCTGACTTCCTGCTGCAAGCAAAGCTGTGGCACAGATCAAACTTTGAACACGAGCAGCTTTCCCATGCCAGGCTTGCAAAGGCTGAAGGTGCAGCTTGACCTGCCTAGGTGCCCAAGGAAATAGTCGACTCCTGTGTACCTTGAGGAACAAGGTTTCCCAATGTCCCTTGGAGGGGAAGATGGAGTCTGGGCAGACACTCCCCTGCATGGCCAGTATACCTGGAGTGGATCCAGCTCTCCACCTTGCGAGGCAGCTCTAATGAAAGGCCTGGTACACTGGGCAAATTCTTGCTTAGGAGAGAGTGGATGCCCGCGTGAGTAGCCATGAGATCTACCAACAGCCCTGGGAGGGCAAGTACATGTGACAAGTAGGCCCAGAAAAAAAACAGGCAATACATATAGTACAGCACCTCTCAGAGAGGGAAGGCTGGTATGGGCCATGGATGTCATTGTAGAGACTACCCTTGTACAAGGACAGCACAGAGGGCAGGACTGGGACACATGCGTGTGCCCACTGGTACTAGGAATCAGAGAGTCTTGCTTACTCTTCTCTCTGTGAGCCTTAGTTAACACGTGCAGGGCAGCCTCCTCTCAGGGAGGTGATTTCTTGCTCTGCAGTCTACCCTAAGCCTAGTTCAACTTCAGAAAGCTTGTGGGCTTAGGGAAACTCAGAAGAGGGATGGGTTTTATTAATATCCTCGCCTTGTGGTTTTAAACTTTCCACCTGCCTCCCCCCTTGCTCCCTCCCTAAGCATTGGCTGCAGGTTCATTACAGATGCTTTTAGTTGCAGCCTAGCTCCTTCTGCATTGTCACCTGAGTGGAAAAGCTGGAAAATAGGTCATTATGCTTGGGTGAGCAGATTCCAGCCCCACATGATACAGCTGCTTCCTGCCTTCACTGAGCCCTTTCACCATAAGGCTTAGCCCTGTGCTAAATGCTTGCAGCTCTGCTGCCCTGCTTTGGGGGGAATCTGTGCCCTCGAGCCTAGGAGGCAGTACGACTGCCACAAAGGTGATAGCCTGGCAAAATGATACAACTAGGAGACCACTCTTTGGTCTTGTCCACCATTGCCTGGCAAGTGCCTCAGGAGAGACCAAACTCCCCATGTATACTGGTGACACAGGAACCCTTAAACTCCACCACTCTGTTTATGAGACAAGGTGTCAGCACTTTTCCTGCTCACTTCAGCAACATTATCCAAAAATCCAGAGTCCTGTCACTGCAGGTACTGGGCTGAATGCAGCTCTGGACGCACTAAGAGCTCAATTCACATGGCTTATTGCAAGTCCATTAAGAGGAAGGAGTTGAAAGAGGAGGAGATTTTATGGAGTGATTACTCTGTCCCTGCTTTGTTATCCTTCAGGCCTCCTGGTGGTCCTGGAATAGGCATCTCACAGGCATTAGGCTGTTTGCGGAAAAATGAACTCAGCACAGGGTTTGACACACTCATATAAGCTGCTGGTTTATTCCTTGGATGCAGAGAGTTATCTGTCTTCAGCTCAACCTTTGTTTCTTACACTGGCAAATCCAGTTTTAGGGAGAGACACTCCCCTCATGCGTGTGATTACACTGCCTTTTACATTGCAGTTCTGGAGGCTGATGAGATAACATACATTTTGCAGTATACTTGCCAAGGTAGCCTACGTCAGCTTCTGGAGTATTTACCTTGGAAAGCAAAGACCTCCTTGCTCTGGTTTCACAAAGAAAAGTTGCACTGCATTTCAGAGAAGCTCTGACATAGGTACCATGGTGCATTCAGAGAGTTAACAGGAGTCTATACAGGAATCTGAGGTCAGGCAAAACTTGGAGCCACCTAGAAGAGAAGCTGGAGCATGGCAGCCCCATGGCAAAAGGCTCTTAGGCTCTTTGAATGGACTTTGCTCTGTCAAACTTGCTTTGTCAAACTTGCTGTGTCAGACTTGCTCAGATAGCTATGATCAACCATTCTTTCTGTTTGTCTAGCAGCAGAAAGTAGCAGCATACCAGATAACTCCTCTAGGAGCTATTCCTCGGGCCCTTGGCACGGGCTTTGTCAGATAAATGAAATGCACGCTCAGGCTGACTTTGCTTGAGTCGAGCTTTCTTCATCACCTGTCCTTCCTGCCTTGTCAGCTTTTCTCAGGAAGCAGGATGGGGAGCACCTTTCTTTGGGCTGAGAGACAAATAGAAGGGACTCCCAGGACCTAGAATTTACAAAGCAAACCTGCATCTGTCAGTCTGTGAAGGAAACTCTCAAAGCAGAGGCTGAGCATAACTCAAGTAGCGATGCCTGTTCAAGTTTGAAAACAGCTATGAACAGCTGCCTTATCCTACTTGTCCTAATAAAGGCTTGATGCTTTCCCTATCAAGGGCTTTAACTTTATTATTTGAGATTTCTACACAAAGGGGAGAACATGTTAGAGCAGCCTGTAAGGAAGGGGAAGGAATGATCAATGATATATGATTTAATGCTAGTGGATTGGGGTTACCAGGGTGACCTCAGCAGATCTCACTGGTGTGTGCAAGGACTCTGCTTTCACATGTCTGGAAGCAGACAATAACAGTAAAATCATTGGGGTCAATGTTGAGAAACATCATGCATTGGAAAGGATTAGTTAGACAAAAACTCTAACTGCAGAGGTTGTTGCAGCTGTGAACACAATAATGACTTACCAGTGAAAAACTTTTCTTACTATCAAAGATAAATTTGAAAAAGCTGAATGCCTTGATGTTAACCCAAGGGACATGTGAGTACAAGTACGAGAAAAATAAAAATAAGAAAGAAAAAAGGAAGTGGAAGAAGTTTGTGCTGTTGCCAGAAACCATTTGTGAGTGTTTCTGCAGTCCACTTCTTAGAGAGGAAGAAAAAGGTTTCCTATAAGATCTCCTGTGAGAGCAGCCCCATTGATTCTCTGCTCTTGCTCCTCAGCAGCTGTTTCTACACTTTGATTATTGAGTTTGTGCGAGGAAAGAGCCCATGTTTCCTAGTCGAGGTTGTTACGACGCCAGCCATAAAAAATAATGAACACTCGATGTTCTGCCACAGCTCTTGGTAACTTATTCTATGGGTGTCACTCCAGGTAAATAATATCTCAGCTCTTGAATTGACAGGGGAATGGAGGAACGGAGAGACATCTCTGAGCATTTGAACCCTGTCACTTACCTGTTTGAGACATCATGCAATAGGCTTTTATTCCAGCAGATCTGCACATGTCTTAAAACAGTCTAGCTCACAAAGCACTTCCCAACATCCTGCGTTGAACTGCAGCACTATAGAAAAGACCAACAGACACATCTTCATTTCATCACAGAAAGGAAGAAGAAGCTGATGACACATCCCTTTATTAGCAGAGGTTTCTTTGGTAAAATTCCCAGATAATCTTAGGAAATGGAAGGATCCAAAAGAGAGCTAATCCCCTTCCCCTTCTGTTTCACCTATACCACTCCTCATACAATCCCAGAAAACTTGTCTTGGGGAAAATTTCCTCCTACCCTTAAATTTGAAGTCTGTTTATTCTTTGCACCATGAGAAAGCAAACCATACACAATAGAGAGGGTAAAATAAAGGGGGAGAGGGGAGATAGTATTAGCATCCAAGGCATATAGAAGCAAAAAATATGAAGCCTTTGAATTTCTAATACACTGTAACGTCAGGGTGGTTCCATATGACTGAAGATTAGCAGATTAGTAACTTTTTATTTAAGAAAGGCTTAAAGGATATGGGATTTTGGCACCTGTGTATTTCTTGGTCTGTCAATTAGCATGTCAGCTTTGAGAATTTATGAAAGAGTAATGGCAGACAGAAAGGCAAATACTACATTCCAAAGCCAGTAGAGAGTAGATTAATTCAATGTCTTTCTTTGTTAAAATAACTGGTTTTCTAGACAAGGGATGCAGAAGGTAATTCTAGACTTCAGCAAAGTATTTGACATGAGAAATTTTTAGTTGAGAGTGGAAGAGAGAGAAATTAGCAGAGGAATCATAAACGAGGGAGAGAATTGGCTGATGCAGACATTAGTGCCTACATACTTTGCTGAAATGGGAAGCTGGGCCTAAGGGAGGTTATGAGCAGAGTTTTCTCAGTCTAGTCTTTTGATAAATGCTTGCAGTAATGACCTGGACATTAAAAGTAGGAATATGCTAACAAAATGTGATAAAACCACATGGGGAAGGTGTTGCCATTACAAATGATATTTTACCATGCAGTAGGAGTAACCAGATCTACATTATTTGACTAATACCAGCAACAAAAATGGTAATAGCAGGTTTTGGAGACTAACAGTAGGACTTTTATAATCTGAGAATGCTTTAGTGGGAGACAAGAGAGGTGGCATCCCCTTCTTTGGGTATCTGGATTGGCTATGAGTTACCGGTGTGCAGTGCATCGCTGTGAAAGGAAAAGTGATATCGGATGTATGAGATGAAGGATTGTCAGCAGATGACAAGGAAGCATGGTGCTGAAGGATGGTGGAAACAGAAAAGATTGTGTGAAATGGGTAGAATTGTATAAAATGAATAGTGGTTCGTTTGTATGGAATTAATTGTTGGGCACTCGTGATGTTTGACTAAATGAGCAGAGTTTTACCCAGCCTTGATGTTACAAGCCAGCTGATATTGCAGTGTTATTTCTGTACAACAGTTTCCACTTCACATTTTTCTCTAAGCTGGCTCTGGCCCTTAAAGACAATGAACATCATTGCTGCAGTCGTTGCGTGAGAATGAAGAGTAGTGAAGAAAGTGCAAGTTGCAAATGGGGATGTATACTGGACGGAATGGAAAGTTAGGACAAGTGCAAGAGCCACCCAGTGGATAGAGAAAAGAGAAGAATGGATAAGTGGCAAGTGAACAATTGCATATGCTGTGAGGGAGGGAGAAATGGACGTGTGAAGGATTACAAAGTGATAGGAAAGACAGAAATAGATGGCTTTATATCTGTATTGATATTGGTATTGGTACAGGTGTCTATGGCACAAGAATTGCTCAGCTGCTGTAGAATGCAGGAGCCATTTGTGTGAAATTACTGCCCATTTTAAGTATGATCTGAGCATCTGGTGATGTCTCAGGGCTTCTCTCATGGTATTCTCCTTGGGCACTGAGCCTTGGCACAACAATGAAGGAGCCTGCCTGACATCCTTCTCAGGAGGAGGTGCTGATGAAGGCTGTATCCCCCTCCCACAGCTGCGTGGTGGATGAAATGGACTTCTCAGGCATGGAGCTGGATGAAGCCCTGCGGAAATTCCAGGCCCACATCCGTGTGCAGGGGGAGGCACAGAAGGTCGAGCGGCTGATTGAGGCTTTCAGGTAAGAGAATGAGCCCTGCAGCCTCACTGCTGCAACCAGTTGGGAGCAGAGAACACACCCAAGGCAGAAAACATGCTGCAGCCGTGGAGTGAATGGCCAGGGACCTCCCTTCTGAAGAAGGTGAACAGGGAGGGGATTCTGATGCATGGAGTCCTCTATGCCACTACTGCAGCAGAGCCATGTCCTTGTCAGATGTTCAGTGGCATGAAGGGCACAAAGGACCAGAGTGAGGCCAGTTCTGACACGTCTGTCAGCAAGGGACTCCCTGCTCATTGATGACTCGTGGGAAGAGCAGTACTGGGGCTTGCAGGGGTCCTGGGTTGCTCCCTTGGTGCATCCAGAGGAATGCTTTGCCCTTAGCAAGGCATGCTGGAGTAGACACCTCCTACGTTACCTTTACATAGTAACACCAGCTTGAGTAGTTCTCTCTAGTCTCACTTGCCCTTTTGGTTCCTGAGGACAAGAAGGCTGAAGTTTCAGTGGCCTACTTCAGCCATTGATGAGTAAATTTGCCTTCAGAAAGCAATCAGTTCCTTCTCATTTGTGTAAGAGGTAGCATGAAAGGAGGAATTTGACCAACTTTTAATGAAACTATTGCCCACCTGGAGCACAGGACTCTAATGTTCCATGTTAAGTGTATGCATCTTTCCTGCTGCAGCCAGAGGTACTGCATGTGTAACCCAGATGTGGTCCAGCAATTTCACAACCCAGACACCATCTTCATCTTGGCCTTTGCAATCATCCTCCTCAATACGGACATGTACAGCCCCAACATCAAGCCTGACAGGAAGATGATGCTGGAGGACTTCATTCGCAATCTAAGAGGTGAGGGTTCTGCTCTGGGGTTTTTTTTGCCCTCTTGCTGCTCTAAATTCTGCCTGGGTGAAGGCAGCAAAAACCTAGTGGAGCTGCCCTTCTCCAGAGCTGCTGCTGCTCCTTGTGAGCCAGACAGAGAGGGCCTTTTGAGGTGTCTTCTAGGATGCTGGGGAAGGAGAAAATCTGAACTGTTTCTTCTGCAGAAAGCTGTCCAGCCTTCTCAGAAACCAACCATTTTCCTTGAGAGATGGTTTCATCTTTTAATAGATCTCACTGCTTGGAAGCAGTCCACTGTATTACATTTTCCTATTGTTCAGCTCCATCCTTCTCCTGCTGCACTGTGCTAAACAAGCCCTTCCCCTCCTTGCTCCCTTGAATATATGAGCACATTTTCCTTCTCTTCAGACTGAATCTTCCCCGTCTTAATTGCTTGCAATTACTTATAGTAACTGTAGGTGTGACAGAGTTCATGCATACATTACCTCTTCACAATTTCTTATACAAGAATTTCCCAAATCAATTTTCTTCTGTTTTTCAAGGTCAGTCCTTCCCATCTTGGTAATAAGTTGCTAAAAGCACGTTCTCAGATGTGGTCACAACATACTCATATATAGAGACACTGCCCCTTCCCTGTTTTCAGAACTGCTAATGCAGCTTAGTATTGTTTGGCCTTTTTGACATCATGTCTAGACAAATTTTTGTCTAATTTCCCAGCCATATTGACTCCTAGGTCATTGTAGGTCATCAATCTTCAAAGTTTCTCTTACTGCACATCTGCAAATCAGATGAAGCTCCCTCAGAGTTTTTCCAGTGTAAATGCCTGTTCTGATTTTGAACTTCTGTGTGTTCCTTTGACTTGTTTTTTTGTCCTGACTGTTATTCAGGAAGTGTCATCTCAGCCTTCCACATCTCCCTCAATGTGACATCCACTTCGTTATCTACTTCAGACTGTTATAATGTATCACTGAGGCCCTCTTTCAAGTTGTTTCCCGAGATACTGAATAGGGCTGATACCTGCTGTCATCCCCTTTGGCGTTACAGCTGCTAGCGCTAGCTCATAAGGGGTTTTTTAATGTTAATTTACACTTAGAGTTGCTTGAAAACCTGCCAGTTCACATCAGACTTAATTCAGCCAACATGAGGATCATTCACCTCCAGTGTGTAATGCACCTACAACTCACTAGAGCAAGTGAACGTCACCCCATTACAGACAAGGAAAGACAGTTAATTTCAGACTCACCTGCAGGCCAAGGCCCAAGTCAGTAGCTTCACCAGCCTGTGTTTGAAAAAAGACAGTATTCAGGCTACATTTGCAAGGACATGGATGAGGTAGCCAGGAGGTGACAATGCCTCTCCTTTCCTTGGTAGATCGTCACCTGCATCACTCAGGGTAGTACATCTCAGACCAGGGAGCTGAAGGGAAAGCAGAGAAAATCAATATGAAGTGACTGAAGGAATTCAGTTCACAGGAAGACTGGCAGTTTAATTTGTGGTGTTTGGCTCAGGGAAGGGTGAAAGAAAACTTCTCTGCCAGGCTTTGCAAGGGTCAGACAGCAAGATTTGGAGAGTTATGTAAGGAGATGTAAAAGAGAAAAGGGACAGGGCCAAGACACACATATCACAGACGGAGTAATAGGAAACTATTACTCTTAGGAGACATCGCAGAAGGAAAGTTGTGGAGGCCACCAAGCAAGCAGGAGGGCTGACGCTTGCATTGGCAGGCACTGGAGCAGCTGAATCCCATCATAGATCTCCTCCGCATCTAGCACTTCTGATGATATGAAATCAATGCAGGGGTTGCTGCTGAGTGGCCTGAGATATATGAATGTTAAATTGTGGCTATAAAGCCTTAGGGAACACATGGAAAGGAGCCACCATGCAGAGCAATGGAATAATGAAATCTTCTGCATTGGCCTTAGAGATATCAGTCTCTTCTGCTGGTGCATTAGGTGTTTTAGGGCAAGAGAGAAGACAGCCTAAAGTGAAGTATTGCTCTTCCCTTTCAGCCTTCCAAGCACTGCACAGTGCAGAGGCAGTAGGTACCTGTCAGGGACCACTGGTTCTTTCCCTTTCCCCCTGCTTAGCCTGCCCAACATTTTCTGTATTTGGCAGGGGTGGACGACGGTGCTGACATCCCACGGGAGCTGGTGGTGGGGATCTACGAGAGGATCCAGCAGAAAGAGCTAAAATCCAATGAGGACCATGTGACTTATGTCACTAAAGTGGAGAAGTCCATAGTTGGAATGAAAACGGTGAGCACCCATAACCCTGCTGGCACCCACTCACTCTTCTCACCCCCACCTCCCTCGCTGCCCTCCTTTCTGCCTTTTGCCTCTATGCACCCACTTCTCTTCTGTAATACTTTCCTTGCTTGTCTTGTTGAATTCACTCCTTTTTCTCCAAACACTTTCTTCCTCGCTCTCTCATTCTTTCCTAATTTTGGGAATCTCCTTGGCTAGAGTTTACAGTATCTAATGCAGTAATTGTTTGTGCAAGAATCTTATTGCAGGTCCTACCTGCCAACGCAGGTGCAGTCTGCCAGTGCTCCAGCAATAGCTCTGCAATGTTTCAAACTTTCAAGCCTTGTGAGGATGTAGGACGTGGAAGGCAAAGTGATAGGAAATTTCACCCATCTGTCTCTAATGAGTTCCCTCTAATGAGTCCCTAAAGATTCCAGGGGTTAAGAGACCTACAAATGCAGAGACAACTTCTTAAGTAGTAAACAATCTGTAATGCAAAAACACACATACTGTTTGCCCAAGACGAGTTGAATAATTTTGCAAAGCCCAGGAAACCTGAAGATGTCCAGCAGCATGAGAGGTGAGCAGTCACCTAGTGATTGGAAGCCAGAGGTATATGAAGATAGGACGTGTGAGCAGGAGAATTATTTAAAACCTGTGCCACTCCTCTGATTTATCCAGATCGCAAAGGCATAGCTCTCTCTGTGATCACACCAGCAGGAAAGGCGATGCTGGGAAGTGGTGGTGAGGAGGTGATTTGAGTGGGCAGAGTGGGCAGAATTAGCTTGTGCCACCATCACAGGTGGCAAGATTGTGCAGGCTGAGGGTGGGGGAGACACATGGTGACACCTGCCTCGGCCTCTGCATGTTTTTGTGGGTCTTCTGCAGGTTCTGTCTGTGCCCCATCGCCGGCTGGTCTGCTGCAGCCGCTTGTATGAAGTGACTGATGTGAACAAAGTGCAGAAGCAGGCAGCTCACCAGAGGGAAGTTTTTCTCTTCAATGACCTTCTGGTGGTGAGTATGCTCTGGCAACTAGGCACTGCAGTGATAAAATCTGCCCTGATTTCTATAAATCTAAAATTAGTCCACAACATCCATTTTCTCCCTCTCCTAGTCCATCAACGTTGTAAGACACAGCTCTGGATCCTTCACTGTTAAAAATCTACCAAATCTAAAACTCCTCTAATTCTGCTGTCACATCCCACAGCCACCCAAGCAATGTCATTGCTCTCTCTCTCATGCCTTTGCCAACGGGGAGGTTCACTTCATGAAAGGGCCGTTCATTTCTTTGTCTATTTGTACTATAGTAGACAGAGCCCTCCCCTGCACTTTAAAGCTTTCTTGCCAGATGCTTTAAAACCAGGCCCTTCTAATATTTCAAAGTCTGTAGGAGAGTAGATATTACTTACTGGAGCCCCAAATGAGTAGAGTGTTCCAGGCCAGATTGGATGGGACTTTGAGAAACCTGGTCTAGTGGATTGAAACTGACAGTGGGTTGAAACTAGATGATCTGTATGGGCCTTTCTAACTCAAACCATTCTATGGTTCTATGACTCCATGATACTACTTTTAAAAGTGTCCTGTGACAGCAACCTTGCAACAGAGTTCAGACAGATATAAGGGAGGGAAGAGGTACTCTGAAACTGGAAATTCTGCTGAATTTAACAGCCAAAGGAAATCGTGGATGTTGCAAACATAAGGGTAAAACCAAACCCTTTCATAGGAGCAGAGAATCAGAGCTTTCCCCACCTATTCCTCTGCACCCATTTGTACAGTTGCAAACTTGAGAAAAGTGTCTGCTCCATGCTATCCTTCTGCTCCATGGGATAAATCAGATCCATAGGAACTAGTGCTGAGGGAGTGAAGGCAATGTAGCATTTACATATACTCTTATTCCCAGCTCTGAGGTATTTCTGACAGTCTTCCCTTCCCCTTTTGATCTGGCCCTCAGTGAAGAGAATTACCCTTGCAAAGTCAGAAATGTGGGCATCCAAAAGCCAGCACCTCTGGGAGACAGACAACTGAGTGGGCTCCAGGGCTATATATACAGAATTTCAGAAGCTGCAACGTGCCAGACAGGTTTCTGGGCAAGTGCCTGTCAGTCACCAAGTATTACTCCCATGTGCAATTAACAGAGCTTGCAAAAAAGCTTTTTTTTTGCTTTGAATAGTCTTGCCTCACTGTTCCCCATCACCCTGCCCAATGATATATCTCTCTCTCCAACAGATCCTCAAGCTTTGCCCCAAGAAGAAAAGTTCCTCAACATACACATTTTGCAAGTCGGTCGGCCTGCTAGGGATGCAGTTCCATCTCTTTGAGAATGAATGTAAGTCCATTGCTCTTTGGGTGCCTGGAGGGCTTTGGCAGGGAAAAGGAGAAGGAGAGAGGAGACTGTAACCCGGTGTGAGTTCGCATCAGAAGAAAGATTCCATCAGAGTTAAAAGTAGAGGGGACAAAACTGAGGCTTGGTGCTGAGATCACTGTGCAGCTGCAGTGTGATGAGAAGAGGTTCCTGGTACCTCTCACTAGGTCTGAGCACCTGCAGAAGGGCTGAACCTAAGCTCATTGAAGGGTCTGGCTTGTCGTGGTGGCAGGGAGGGCACTAGTGGGGAAGAATGAGAGAATCAATCCCCAGATATATGTCACTGAGCTTTCAGGAGCCAACTATAGGTAGAGAACCTTGTTGACCAAACTGCTGCTGCCAGCTTTAGCCCCTCTTCCCTTATGCCCGAAGTCACAACTCCCACCTCTTCCTTTGACACTGCTAACAGCTGAGGTGCTGCTGCTGACTCCACACACTGTGCCATGCTGTGCTGTGCTGAAAGCTGCCCAAGACAGAAGCAGAACCCTTGGAACAGCACCCACCAAAACATGGCGAGAGGCCAGAACTGGTCAGCCTGACCTTGATGGTCTGGGAATAGAGCCATGATGTGTCATGACTGAGGCTGGTTGTGCAGTGGACGAGTTCCAGAAAGAGGCAGGCTTCCTGCTGGCACAGGCAGAGGGGCTACGCAGCAGTCCCAGGCAAGCATGGCTGCTGCCCACTGAGGTTTCTGTGAGCACCTGCAGAACATGCTGCAAGGAAGGAAAACTGTAGCAGAACTGTGGTTATACTAAGTTCTTTACATCCTCCCTCTACCCTATTGGCAGCACGAGCCACTATCTCAACACCCTGCCCTCTGCAGCATGCAGAAGCTTTCACATCCCTGTGTGTACAAAAAGAGACATTCATAACTGATCATCCCCAGGAGGCACCATCAGAGCTGGGATCAGCTTTCAGGGGTATCATGACTATCCTGGGAATGCCCAAGGAACTTCTGGCAAAGACATCCTGTTGTATATTCCCTGCAGAGAGAGAAGAGCAGATGTCCTGTAGAGCTTGTGATCTGAACAGACAGAGTGGGAAAAGGGGCTTGGGACACAAACAGGAGCTGAGGGCTGGCAGCAAATAGCAGGTTGGTCCTTTGAGTTGTTTGGTAAAGACATAAAGGAAGAGAGCGAGGAAGGCAGGCAGATGCAAGAGCAGTGGAGAAGAGAAAGCAGGACAGGAGAAGTGAGAAATTAAATGTAGAGAAAGGTGAGAGGTAAGGAGAAAAGGTATTGAAACCATTGGCCATTGAGCAAAAGGTAGAGAAGGTCCAGTCACAAGAGCAGCAAATTCTCAGCACACTCTAATTTTCCTCCTTCTGTTGGCTGAATCTCCAGCCACCACCTTCCTGCACTCAAAGTGATCTTTAAAACGCAAGGCCTTTTGTTGTGATATTTGCACTCTCTGGGTATATGTTCCTGTGTGTTTTGCCCGCTGGGGAGAACTAAGCAGAGACCTACAAGCCCACATATTTCTCTTTACCGTTCTCTCTCTGCACAGCACAATGAACCCCCCACCCATACTGTGCTAACAGCCCTGTTCTGCTCATGGAAGTGGAGACTGGGGAGAAGTCCTTCCACTGTGGATGTTAATGGCTGTTCCGGGTTTGACTCCATGAGGCAACCTCTCCTGCTGCACCTACCACAGGAGAAAAAGTCTTGTTGGCCTCATATACACTGCTTACACCTCCACAGATTCAGCAGGTCTTTACAATCCTACCTCTGTGCTCAGGTACCCAGAGCCAATGTCGCACTAAATGTAATGAAGAGTTAGAGTTTTCCGGTTCTGGCAACAACCTGGTGCTTGCCTTTGCTGCTTGCACCTTGGCCATTCTTTTCCCTTGGAGCTCTGCAATGCTGTAGGTTCCCACAGTTTGCAGTGTGACAAACTCTGTGTCTGTCATTCCTCCGGACTCGTGTTGGAGACTTTCTGTCCTGCGGAGGTACCAAGGCAGGCAACTACTCCAGCAAGAATGCCTCATGCCTCTTTATTTTGTTAATATGTCTTCTTTACAGATTACCCCCACGGCATCACACTGGTGACTCCAGTTTCTGGCTCAGAGAAGAAACAGGTACTACACTTCTGTGCTCTGGGTGCTGACGAAATGCAGAAGTTTGTGGAAGATTTGAAAGAGTCAATAGCAGAAGTGACAGAGCTGGAGCAGATACGAATTGAATGTAAGGGCCTCTAATACAATTCACACTCCAATGCCATGTGTGTCTACAAGGGAGACAGGGTAAAGGAAACGTTCTTCAGGAACAGAGGGAAAGATGATGAGTAGCACAAGTTGCACAGGATTATTCTTGTGTTCACCGATGGGATGAAAAACCAGTTGGGCTCTGTGACAGCCTGCCTGCAGGAGATATGGAAGAACTTAGCTACTTACGATGCTGGTGAAGCAGAGTGTATGATACAGTGGCCTGGAATAGTGAAGCTGTTAGACCCAAAAGACTCTTCTCCATCCCATACTCCTTAGACTATGCAAATATGATCTGTAGATAGCTGAGAAGTACAAGACAGGTCTAGTAGCCTTAGTAGAGTTGTCCTTCACTCCAGAAATGTCTAGGGGAAAAGCAGTCTGTACTGTGTCCCTCTGTGGCCTGTCTTACACAGATTAGGCGTCAGTGCAGCCTTTGATGGCCTTTCTGTGTATAAACTGATGAGCCAAAGTTGCTCAGCATTGGTGATGCCATCCTGTGCAGCAATAACCTATTATGTATAAATACAGATCATACATAGAAGGTTGTGTGGCGAAGTGTAAGCTCCTCCATGTGTCAGGTCCTTTCCAGTTTCTGGTTTTTTCTTCCTCCCTTCTTGACAACCTCTTGTCATTGATTGGATTAATCCCCTTTCCTGACTTCCCATATTGTTCTTTCAATATGCTGGTGTCCTTTCCTCCATCCCTCTCCTCATTCGTTTCCGTATGTCTGTCTCGCAGGGGAGCTGGAGAAACAGCAGGGGACAAAGACTCTCTCATTGAGGAGCAATGGAGCCCAGGTGGAACTGCAGTCTAAGCAAGGCTCTCCAACAGGTAAGAGGACACCCAGCTTTGCTTGGTTAAACAGTGCTGCCTTTGCAAATGTGTTCTCATTGATTCCTGTGAGAATAGCTACAAAAAGAAATGTTCAGTTTTGTATCCTTTGGCCTTGAGTAAATGGTGGAAATATAAGAACTTATGCATTCTACAGATACCCTTGAAAAGCCATTAAAGTCTCATTACCCAGCCTGTAGCTGTAACATCTAGCACAGAGAGGTTACTGATGGAGTATAGGTAACTCCTGGAGACCCTGGCGCACTTTTTCTTCCCTAAACTGATGCAACACAGTAACTCCACTATTAACTTCCTCCAGCCTCTTCAACAACGCTTTGGACCAGCCTCTGTACGTCAAAGGCTTTGGTCAGTTCACGCTTTGTCTTGTATGCTGGCAAAAATCAAGTGCAGAGGTGCGTGACTACAAACTCACTAGAATGGCACTGAGATTAGGACCTAAGGGTAGGACCCAAAAGAGGCCTCCTCCTACTCCACTTATCAGGTTGCAAGAAGGTCTGGATTTGTTCTTGCGATCAAGAGTCTTGTTTGGCCCTGCACCTCTCCCTTTAGCTTTCTAGTCCACAGTACGAAGACCAGCTCTTGACTACAGGTACAGACCTCATGAGTGAGATCTTTTGTTTTATTTCAAAGGGAAGAAGGATTTGGGGGAGAAGGTCTCGGACAGCACAGTGGAGGTAAGTAGAGTGCAGAGCAGCTGAGGTAAGTAATTCTCTCTCACTTCAGCTCTTCTCACATTCTCTGTTGTTTCTTTTCTCAGGTTTTAATCAATGCCTCCCCAGCCAGACTGACAATTTTACCAATTTCCAGAGATACAATTAAAAGTTACTGCTAGGACGGGTAATACAACTTTCAAATCCAAACTAAAAGCATTTTCAATCCGTTTTTATAACTGTAACATCCCTCATGGACCAAGCTCCCAAACGCTGAGACTAACCCACCCCACTGCTTCTGGGGAGACTGAGAACCCCACTAAAGACTTCCCTGACATGCTAACTCCATGCAGCATCACATGCAAATTCCCCGCAGCCCAGCTTTTCTGCACAATCTCTGCAGCTCTGTCTCTCCATCCCCTCTTTGAAGGGGATTAAGCATGGCCTTTGTTTACCAGACTCTCCCTAGAGCTTCACCTTCCTAGGCAGGGAGCTTGGCTGTCCTGTGTACATCTATCTTTGCAGGGATGTCTAGCATCCAGTGGGTTGCCTGTTTCTTCACAGACACCCATACTCCCATTGCCTGTGAGGAAACAGGAAAATGCGATCTTCACACTGAAAATCTTATCTACTACTTCCTACTCTCTCCCTGTCTGGAATATTTCCATTCTCCTGAATTTGCCCTTTTCCAGGGAGGTTCTTTCCTTCTTGTTATAGTATAGTTATTTGAAGAGTTCAGCTTCTCTATGCGGAGTGGGTGCTGCTTCTTTTTCCTGAAGAGCACCCCATTGCCCCGCAGACATGCCCTTCCTGGGGAAGGTGCCTCTCCCAGTCAATTTCCTATTCCTATTCCTTTTGGGAGGAGTGTTTCCTTCTGGAGAATGGCTTCCATGTGTCCTAACATCATTAGCACCTCATGGCCCAGCAACCAGATTTTCCTATGGGACGTTCCACTGCCTGAATGAATATTGACACAGTTTTATGTCCTGCTGTGCAGAGTCTGAGCAACCTCCGTGCTTGAGTAGGGACGGACAGCTCATCCTTGTTCCAGCATGGTGGGAAGCTTGAACACTCCACAGCTTCTCCTTCCCAGTTGCTGGTGCTGCTGCCCAACATGCTAGACCATCAGGGCACTCCCACTGTCCCATCTGCCCATCTATACCCTTACCTAGCTGGAAGTGCCATGCCAATCTGCACGTACTTGTTTCCTACCCAGGGTTTGTCACTTGACTGACATTCTGTTTTGAGCTGGCAGTTTTGCTCTGGTTTGGGTTCTCCATCAGCTCATGTCCGTGCCAGGAGGAACTGTAACTTCAACCACCATTCGGGAAGCACCGTTTTCCTGCTGCATTTCCCCCTCTAGGGACCTCCAGTCCAGGCCAGCTCCTCCCTTTCAAGCTGGACTCAGTGAGCTCCCTTATTTGACTCCATTATCATTATCTCTCTGTGGGGACCCTGATGGCCTCCTGCTTCCCTTCCCCCTTTCAGCTGCCCAAGTAATACTGCCAGCAGAGGAGCATTTCCATTTCTTTGAGATTATCTAATCTGCTGCCATTTCATCATGAATTTCTTTTATCATTGTATGAGCTAGACGGGCATTTTTTCTTTCTCTTTTTTTTTTTGAAAATCATTTCCTTTCACTGGCAAACCATCAAATGGATCAGAGGGAGCTGTCTTTTGCTAGAGTATGTCAGATTTCTGCTTTTTCCTTTGTAAACAGATTAGCCAGTCATGTGATGTACCTTCCTACTCGGAAAGGCAGGGAGCTGGGAAAGGCTTGAGTCTCTCTGTCTCTCTCTATCTCAGATTCAGCTACCGTCATTTTGCTGAAACGTACAACCTCGATTATCTGAAAACTTGCTGTCTGGTTCCCCTCTACTTTTTGCTGGTGGGGACAAGGGCATGACCTCCAAGGTCTGTTTGTCACCGTGAGAATTCACGGACGCCTCCATTCCTAGAGTTGATTTGCGTTCCCTGTGCCATTTGGATAATCAAAGTTGCACTGCATTTGGGAACGCTGGCCCTGCTGCCTTTGCAATGATGGAAAGGACAGGGGCACTTAGGCCTAGATGGGGACAATGAGGCTATTTGGGGTGTCAGGGGAGCTGTGAAGCCAGGGGTTGTGCGTATTCTGGTTTTTTTCAGAGGGGAGGGTTTTATGCATGTGAGGCCGACTGGTGGTGGGGATTCAGGGCAGCCAGTAGCAGCAGATGGGAAAAGTCTTGTAACATTTAATGCTTCTTTGGCTGTTTCTAAACTAGGTGTCAATTCACAACAGGCTTCAAACGTACCAGCACAACTCCGCCCTGGGGCCCGAGAGTGGAATGCAGCCCAGCATGCGTCTTAACATGCCACGGGAGCGGCTGGAGACAGCACTGGTGCCCTCGCACCCCGCCTCGGCGGGGACACTTGTACAGTGCCAGCAGATTGTCAAAGTCATTGTCTTGGACAAGACGTGCCTCGCTCGAAAAAAGCCGTGCCTCGCTCGAATGGAGCCCGCCCTCAACCAGACTCTGACACGCTATGTCACCTCCGATTCCTGCACCTCCACCCCCTGGCGTGGTGTGGGCAGCGGGCTCCCTGTGACCCCCATGAAGCTGGTCCATCAGCCTCCCCTCCCACCTCCACCACCTCCCTACAACCACCCCCACCAGTATTGCCCCCCTAGCTCCCTGCTTCAGAGGCGCAGGTACTCCAGTGGCTCACGCAGCCTCGTGTAGCCACACCACCAGCACCAAAACAGCACAGACTTCCCCGCTTCCCTTCCCCACCGCCTCCCAGGGACCCTTTCTGCCTACAGAGATCTAGTTTGTGATTTATTTTTTAGAAAAAGAAGAAGAAAACAAAAAAAAATAAAAGAAGCCGACTGACCTAACTCTTACCCCATCTCCCCTCAAGATGATGCTAATTGTGAGGAGCCATCTATAGGAACTGCCAACCTACATGCTCACACATCCCCACACCCTGCCAGCCCAGCTGGCCGCCCGTGCTCGTGCCATCCCCATGTAGCACTTTGCTGCCCTATTCCTGAGAGGCTTGATGACCTGCTGCTTTCTAGGCACTGTGTCTTCCGTTTGCTACTCCTCGACTTTCTTCCCTGCCTTGCATTTACTCGGCCATAGGTTTGTACCCACCCCGAAACTTCACTAGCCTCGGAGAGAAATGGACTCACCTGTGCCAAGGACCAACTTTGGGGCACTCCCAGGGGTGGAGTTCCCTCTGCCACCACTGCTGCCGCCTGCTAAGCTGGAGCTGAGAACTTGTACCACTTGCCATGCTTTCTCCTCGTCGCCCTTCAAATATTATCTCCTTGCAGCAGCCAGTTTCAAGCGAGGGAGTGCACCAGTAGAAGAGAGCTCAAGAGGAAGAGAGACTGTCCTGAGCTGCAGTACAACGCAAAGATGGCCTCACTCTGAATACCAAAACTTTCTGTTGTTATATTGGAGCATTGTACCAGAGACCTCTGCTGAGACCTAGCAGACCTCATCATATGTAAATACACCTGTATGGTAGCGTATGTATGGTGCATGCTTACTAAAGGAAACACCAAGCAGTTCTGAGGGAGCAGAAGGGAGGGAGTATCCCAGGGATCTTCCTGGAATGGATGAGTACTTTTCCAAAGAGACAGCACCAAGAGGTGCCCTCCCACCTCAACACACACACAAAGATTGTCTTCTCTAGCATAAAGTAGATCCACCTCTGCTTTCCTCCTTCTAACTGGTTTTGTGTTTCCTGCCCACCTGCTTTTTTATATTGCGAAAGCAAATCCAAGGGTTGCGTTCACCTTCCGGGATGGATGTTGCCTTCCTCCTGTGTTAGAGGGAAGGGGCTTTTTGGAGACCACTCATCTCTGTCTTTTTGCCTGGCTATACTCTTGCCTCAGTCAGCCCTTCCTGTAGGAAAGCTGCCCAGATACCAGACTCTAAGACCTCTTCTTCTCTCTCCCTCCCTATCCCAGCTTCAAAGTGAGGGGAGGAGAAGATCCTCAGATAGATACGACAGCTCAGCTCCTCTGCTTTATTGAGGACATTGATGTGAAGGAAGACAGCATTAAAAATGGGCTATGGATGTATTTTTAGAAAAAAAAAAATCTCTTTGAGCAGTGGTGTGGGGGGGAGGTATTAATTAGCTTAAAGGCTTTGGTCTCGCTCACTCACTCTATCTCCCTTCGAGGCTTAAGAAGATCAACTTTAGGATTTTAAAATAGGACAGAATGCCTTTTAGGGCCTTTATTTTTATTTTATTCTGAGAGGGAAAGAAAGAAATGTTCTTCATTGCCATGCAAGGCTGAGACATGGGCACTGGGTGCTGATGACACATTCATTGGGTGAGGAGTGGCAGGAGTTGCTGGCAGTGATGGGGATGTCCAAAGTGTCAGGGAAAGGGGGACAATGAAGACAGATGCAGGAAACTTTTTTTTACCTTGTGGGGTAAAAGCCACGCAGCAATTCCCTTTGGGATTGTGCCAGTTTGCTCATCTCTGTGTCTATTGCCAGTCGCAAAAACCACAGTGCATCAGGAGCTGGCTCCCCTCAGTGCTCTTTTGCTCTGCTGAAATGTTCAGATGAAAGAATTCACACACCTGACCTGGGCCAGTTAGGGAAGTGGACAGGGGCTGAGGTGAAGAGTCTCCTGTGCTTGGCCAGTCTTCCAGGGCAGGAGCCTGCTCACTTCTAGGTCTCTTTTACTTCTGAGCCTGACCCGTGTGGCCAGGTGAGCCAACAGGTCTGAGTTCTTTGCTTAGCTGTCTGGAGCAGGGCACTAGGTTGCTCTTTTGCATGCAATAGCAAATGTACTGACCAGGAACCAGCAGGCCAAGCCTCAGGGAGGACCACAGAAGCAGAAGACAGAGAAGATCGTAAGAAAACCCTGAATAGAAGCCCAGTCTCCTTCCAGACTAGAAAAGCTTTCTTCTAGCCAGCCTTTCAGGTCAGTGAGGATGCTCCACATCTCAAGACTGGGTCCAGGGAGAGATCCTCATCCACAGCCAGGGCTCAGCCCCTCACCTTCCAGCCAGCTGTGAGGCACATCTGGCCTGATCTGTTGCTGGCTCCCTCCAGGGTGACACCCAGCTGCCACGAGACAGCCGAAATCTCATCTAACCTGCCCATAGCTTCCTGGGAAACCATATATGCGGCATCTGCCATCGTCCAGTCTACATAATGTTCAACTGCCATTTTAT